TGATCTTTTGGGAGAATTGAGTCTCAAATGCTTGGTCAAAGTTGTCCAAGTTCAAATGGGTCAAATCTAGCATGTGCAGTTTATTTTTTAGGAAGTCTGTAGGGTAGATGAAACTGAACATTGGTTGGAGGTTGGCTTGGATATCTAGTATTGTAAAAACCTTGACTTCGTAGACCGTCTTTTTAGGTCAATGTTAATGTTCATTTTATAGATAGCATTTAAAAAATTCACCATACCTATCTGAAAATCTTTTGGAAATTTTGCCTGTACCAAAACTAACCCAGAATGCAATTGTTTGTTTTATTACTTAAGCACATTGTGTCCAGACGACTGATTTGATTCTAAACATTTTAAAATACATTCGGTACAGAGTCCTTTCATGGGAAAGGGAGCTAAAAGAAGTAGAATCTGTTTGACATCAAGTTATGAAGATGGTAAAAAACGAAATTAAGCCAAGTAAGTTTGAAGATCTAATTGACATTTTTAAGTCATGGGCAGCATCTCACCCAGCCCTCTGAGGGGTTGTACCAAATGGAAGGTTTTTTTTAATAGGAAGATGGATAAGGCAGGGTTGCTGTTAACAAAAGAAAGGATTGTTTTCTTTAGGGAAGTTTTTGTCATGCAGTTGCCTCTTTCCGTGAGGTGGGAGTAGAGGGTCCATGTGACAGATTACTTCCTTGATTTCTGCAGAAATTTCCAGGCTGATTCAGATTGTTGCTAGGAGAGGTTAAAACTGCAATTAGATCAGGTATTAAATCTAGGCTTGGTATCATGGGCTTTTAGCATGAGTGATGCCATTTTGGGCCTGTGGTTTTCTCTTTAACGATGTCAAAATACAATGCTTACTTTGTTCCTTTTTTGCTGGGTTGTAAATTTGAAGTTCTAATGACAAAAGATTAGAAATAATGACTCCTAATCAATTTAGAAAACTAATAATTAATCTCTTCAGATCAAATCAAATTTGTGATTATTTGTGTTCTTAGTTGATTCATTGAGTATTTTAATATCTGTTTGGACATATATCTTACATTATGAACCAAAAGGGAAATTGGTTGTCTATATATAAAATGTTAAGTTGTGGTGATGGTGTAAAAAAAAGAAAGTGGGGTTAGAGTAGTATTTATAACATTTCTTTTTTTTTTTTTTTTTTTTTGAAATATAATTTTTAGGGATTTTAGAGAATAGATAAAATACCAACTTTTGTTGTTCCACTTCTTTATGCATTCATTGGTTGCTTCTTGTGTGTGCCCTGACTGGGGATCTGACCCACAACCTTGGTGTATCCGGGTGGCTCTTTATCCAACTGAACTACCAGGCCAGGACTTCTATAACATTCTTTGCATGAAGGAAACTATTACAGTGTTGATAATAATCCCTATTTTGTGCTAATTTCATCTGAAAAAGTTATTTCCTTGTTGGGCCAAGTAAGGGTTAGAAGGTGAGTGCTGTTGTTTTCACTCATCCTTGTAAATTGCTTAGTATGTTGCTTAGTATATTGGTAGATAATAACAGCACTTACTGGGTGATTCTTCATGCAATGTTTTAAATTCTTCTACACATATAATAACTGATTTAGTGCTTCTGGAGGTAGATCATATGACCATTTTAAGAGGAAATTGAGGTCCATAGTAAAGAACTTACCCAGGGAAGCATAACAGCAATGATGATTTCTGGTGAGGAGTTTGTACTAGTTTTAAAGGGATAGTTCCCTTGACTTAAATTGTTATCCTGTACATCAGTTTGGAATTCAGAAACACTTTGTTGTTGTTTAGATTTTATTTATTTTTAGAGAGAGAGGAAGAGAGTGAGAAACCTTGGCGTGCAAGAGCTGTTTTCCTCAGTTGCTCTTGCACGCCCCCAAGTGGAGACCTGGTCTGCAACCCAGGCACGTGCCCTGACTAGGAATCAAACTGGCAACCTTTCATTTTGCAGGCTGGGGCTGGCACCCAGTCCGCTGAGCCATACCAGCCAGGGCTGAAAAACACTCTTGCTTAGGTTTCACTGTGCTCCAAGGAAAAGCTGCAGCACTTAGTGGTTATGAAGTCGTCTTCTAATATGTCATATTTCATGTGAATAAACTTTTTGTTTACACGTGGTGTGTATTTCCAATATCAGTCCAACCCATTGTTTTCTTTGCCATTGAATTGTATAATATCTTAGATAATGAGATCCTTTGAACAGAGGATAGTGTTCTCAAATAGGAGTCCATTTTGCTTGGGACTGACTATGAAGTTGTGTTGGAGCCATATAATATACTGAGCCCCCTGGACCACTGAAAATGTGAATGGAAAAGTAATACTTGAAAGACAGGTTTGTTGAAGTGCATCTAGAATGAGATAATGAGGTCTGAGGTAAAGGGAAATCGTATCCTTGGGATATTACTGGTTCTCTTTATTCTTTTGCTTTAAAACATGTAGTTTGTGGTGATTGGCAGTTTCACCATGAATGAGTGATTTTTCCATAAAGGAATAGTAACTACTTTGTTACTATATAATCTGTGGGGAAGTAGGCTGATAGGGAAGGCATCTTGGATTTTGGAGTGGTGGGCTGGGAATGAGTTTTAGAAGTCAGATTTTAATGCCTGTTTTTTACCACTTCTTGTGTGTTGCTGAGCAAGTTGTGTAACGTTTTATATGCAAATAATAGGAAAACCTATAATAGTCCACTACAGAGTAGGCTCTATAAATGTTAGCTTTCCTTTCTTATTGAAAGTAAGGAGAACTTAGAGTCAGTTTTACTGCAATAAGTTAGTTGGTAGCTCATGTCTGGACATCTAGTTATTATAAGATCACAAAATAATTAGCTTATGGTTTGATTCATCACTTTTTCCCCTCTTTTTCTCCACTGAAAGGTATTCTTTGTGTTCAAGTTTTTAGATAAAGGTATGCCTTCAGTCATGGTGAACCTTGTCTTTTCACTGAGATCTTCTACAATTGCATATATGAGGTAATAAGTTGAACCTTTCACCTTTATATCTCTGGTAATACTTTTCCTTAAAGTCATTTACCTGCTGTTAATACCAGTTTTCTTTTGGTTAGGATTGTATTTCACTGACAGTTTTTAATATGGGCCTTTAATTGATTTAATGTAATTACTATGGTGTTTGGTTTAAATCTGTTCTTTTTGTGCTTTGTTCATCCAGTTTTTCTCTAGTTGGTGTAAAAATACATATTTTTTTTTTCTCCTGTTTTAGAACTTATATGTCTTTTGTGGAGGGTAACCCTAGAAATTACAATACACATGCATAAGGACATTAGAGTACTTGGATGCATTTCCTCCCCTCGTAACCCTTGCCACTGACTTCATGTTGTGGTAGTTTACATTTTTAATACACACCCTGGCTGGTGTGGCTCAGTGGATTGAGTGCCATCCTGTGAATCAAAAAGTCACTGGTTTGATTCCCAGTGTAAGGCACATGCCTAGTTTGCAGGCCAGGTCCCCAGTAGGGGGTGCGTGAGAGGCAACCACACATTGAGGTTTATCTTCCTGTCTTTCTCCCTCCCTTCCATCTCTAAAAATAAATAGATAGTCTTAAAAAAAATTTTTAATACACTACATGGTGGTGATATTATTTCTTTTAAAATATTTAGATATACGTGGATATCCTTTCGCCCCTCATTTCATGTATCTTAGACCTTCCATTTGTAATCACTTGCCTTCTGCGTGAAGTCCTTTTAGAATTTATTAGTGAGAGAGCTGGAGCTTAAAGTATGTTATCTTCATATTTAAAGGATGTTTTGGTGTTAGGTATAATATTCTAAAATCTTCCATTGTTTTCAGTATGTTAAGAACAACAGCACATTCTATTGTCTTTTGGTGTTTATTACTGATAAGAAAAGAGCTGTCTTTTGTGCCTTTGAAGTTAATCTAAGTCTTTTCACTCTGTGTTTTTAAGGTGACTTCTGTTTTTAGTGTCTTGCCTTTTCCCTCATATATCTCAGATAATGTGGGTTTCTTTTTTTATTTGTACCAATTGGGATTTATAGGGCTATCATTTATTAGTTCTGGAAAATTCTTTGCTCCTAATTTCTTCAAATATTCTGCCCATTTTCTTCTTTACTCCTAAAAGTTGTTAAATCTTTGTTAGACTTTATCGTATCCTAAAATGTGTTTTAACTTTAGTATTTTCTTTCTTTTAAGTTCTGTCATATTTTGGAAGGTTTCTTAGCTTGCTTCCAGCTCACTTAATTCTCTCTCCAGCTACACTTAGTCAGCTATTAAACTTGCTCATTTAGTTTGATTTGTTATTTTTATTTCTAGAAGTCCTGTTTAGTTCTTTGCCAAATTAGCTGTATCACCTTTAGTAAATGGCTCCCCTTGTAGATATAGCTGCGGGCATTGTATTTTCAAACATAGTTAGCATGGTTGTTTTTGTCCGTGTTTAAGCTTGTAGCCTTTTTGACAATATTTAAGTCTTCATAGACTGGTTTCTGTTGTCCCTTTTGCTCTTGAAAATTACTTCTATGAATTATTTGAGGTATAGGATGAAGGGGCCTTTCACTTATATTTGAGTATGCCGGTACCTAGGAACCCTTATCAGAGACCACTTTAAGCTCATAGCTTGGGTTTTGAGGTGAACATCGATGAGGCGACATTGGGCTTTTGTTTAGGAGAACTGGTTTATAATCTCTGGGAATTTTGCCCTTTGAGGTTACTGCCTAATTTTGGAGGATTGCCATAAAGATTTCTCACCTTGAATAGGTCCATAGCTTTTGATTTCACCATAATAGTTCAAATTTGAGGTTGTCAGTTGGCCACATGGCAAAAGTGACTTCCTTATCCTTATCCTTATCCTTATCCTTTTGCTTCCTCAGGCATGATGGTTCAGAATCTGAGTGTGGAAGTATCTTTTTTAAAAAATGAATTGTTTGTAATTTTATATTTATAGAGAACTTGTAGAGATAGAGAGTTCCCATATACCCCTTCATCACTTTCCCCTGTTAACATATTACATTACCGTGGTGTATTTACTGTTCATTCTGTGCCTTCATCAGAACTAAAGGAATCTTTTACATGAATTTGCTTCTTAATAAGAACAATCTGGCAAATCTGATTTCTGGCCAAGATGGAGGCATAGGTGGACTTGCTTCACTTCCTCACACAACCATAAGAAGGGTAACAACCAATCTGAAAACAAAAAACAACCCAAACTGCCAGAAAATTGAACTGTATGGAAGTCCAACAGCCAAGGATTTAAAGAAGAAACATTCATCCAGACTGGTAGGTGGGATGGAGTGGTGAGGCTGTGGCCAGTGGAAAAGGTGGTCCCACATTCACATTTGGCAGATAAAAATCAGGAGGGGCAACTGGGAAGCAAGAAATCTGAGTCCCAGGCCAGACCGCAGTTCAGGGTACCAGCCCTGGGAAAATAAAGCCTGATAATCTCTGGCTACAAAAGCCTGTGAGGATTGTGGTGGCAGGAGAAACTACCCGTCTCTCAGAAGAGTCTGTTAAAAGGGCCCACAGGGTCCTAGAACATTCACAAACACCCCCATTTTGGAAATCAGCACCAGGACAGCAGCTAGAAGGGTGCCAGTCGCTTAAGGATGTAGGGGAAGTGACTGAAAACAAGGCAAGAGCTGAGCAAAGAAGCATTGTTCCTGTTCTGACCCTTTCTGGACATACAGTGCCAGAAAGCAGCAAAGCTGGTTGCACCACCCTGGCAAATACCTAAGGCTTTGGCCCCTTACAACATAATAGCTGTGCCAATGTGGGGGGTGAAAGCAGTTCTATTACACAGAAGCACAGGGAGGCTGCCAAATTGAGGTGACAAATATGGCCCAAATGAAAGAACAAATCAAAACTCCAGAAAAAGAACTAAGTGACATGGAGGTAGCCAACCAGATGCAGACTTCAAAACAGTGGTGATCAGGATGCTCAGAGAAATGAGACTGAGTATAGCCACAAAAATAAAGGACGAAGTGAAGGTTATATAAAGTGAAATAAAAATATACAGGGAACTAGCAGTGAAGGGAAGGAAGCTGGGACTCAAATCAATGATTTGGAACAAAAGGAAGAAAACATTGAACCAGAACAGAAAGAAGAAATAAGAATTCAAAAAAAAAAACAAGGGAAGGCTTTTGAACCTCTTTAAACATACCAACTTTAAACATACCAACATCTGAATCATAGGTGTGCCAGGAAAAGAGGAAAAGCAAGAAAGTGAAGATTTATTTTAAAAAATGATGAAGGAGAACTTCCCAAATCTGGCAAAGGAAATAGACATACAAGTTCAGGAAGCACAAATCATAAACAAGTTGGACACAAAGAGGAGCACACCAAGACACATGATAATTAAATTACCCACAATTAAAGGTGAGAGACTCTGAAAAGCAACAAGAGAAGAGAGTTACATACAAAGCAGTTCCCATAAGACTATCAGTTGATTTCTCAAAAGAAACCTTGCAGGCAAGAAGGGACTGGCAGGAAGTATTCAAAGAGATGAAAAGCAAGACCTACATCCAAGATTACTCTATCCAGCAAAGCTATCATTTAGAATGGAAGGGCAGATACAGTGCTTCCCAGATAAGATAAAAAGTTAAAGGAGTTTATCATCACCAAACCCTTATTTGAAATGTTAAAGGGACTTATCTAAGAAAAAGATCAAACCTATGAACAGTAAAGTGACAACAAACTCACAACTATCAACACTTGAAGTAAACAACTAGAACAGGAACAGAATCACAGAAATGGAGATACATGGAGGTTTATCAGTGGGGAAGGGGAGGGAGGAGAATGGGGGAAATGATACAAGGAATTACAAGCATAATTGGTAGTTACAAAATAGGGGAATACTAAGTGTAGTATAGGAAATGGAGAAGCCAAAGAGCTCATACGCATGACACATGGACATGAACTAAAGGGGAGATTGCTGGAGGGAATGGTGGTACTAGATGGGGGGAGAGGGCAAAGAGAAGAAAATGGGGCAACTGTAATATAGCATAATCAATAAAATACACTTTTTAAAAAAGATCAATCCAATAAGGAAACAGTTGTTTTTCTAATTTTATAGATGATTACATGGGGCTAGACTTTTTTCCCATAGGTGAGATTGCTGCAAAATTGGTATCAACCCAAATGATCTGACTTCAAAATTAGATCAAATTTAAAAAACAAAAAATGTGTACAACCAAGGAATCTCATTTATCCAGAATGGGCAGGTTGGAGAAGGCATCTGTGAAGAAGTAAATTCCATCCTGTTCTATCTTGAATACTGTTTAATAAAGAATCAAAATAATTTTGTTGTAGGAATTTGAATTCTGAATGTAGTGCCACAGAGTGGACACTGAGGGTTATTACACATAGGAGTAATAATTCCAAATATTAGCACTTGACTGCTAAAATCAGTACCTCTTAACATTTTAAATAAGCATATTAAACATGCTTGTTTAAGGAATTATATTGTATATCATTTTGTGAGTTAAAGACTAAGATTTTAATTTTTAAAAGATAAAAACTTGATTTTAATGTGGTTGATCTAAACTTTATCTAAAAAATTTATTTTTACTATCTGCATTACCAACGGCATTCAGCCATTTTTCTGCCTAAATGTAACACAGTTTACTTTCAGTTTTGGCTTTCTAAAAGCAGTATTTAATACAAATTTTGAAGTAAGAAAGAACTTAGGGTGTGCTGTGATTGATCCTAACAGTATTCGGGTCTGCTAATCCACTGTACCAGCATATCCAGGATAGACTAGGGGGTGTGGTGGTTATCGTTGATGTGTGTGACATGAAGTAAAATTTAAAAAGACAGGGAAGGTTAAGTTGACATAGGTTGGGACACAGAGCTTTATAACTCTCACTGAGTAACTTAAAAGGCTGACATTGGATACAGAGATTGTTAAACTTTTTTTTAAAAAGATCTTCAGGGTTGGGGGCAGGCGTAATGAGCATAGTAGGTGACAAATTTTGGCGTTTAAACGTGAGTTCGATAAAAATGAATGCTGTTAAAAATGAGTGCATTTGTTCTGTAAGGTGCTAAGTAGCCTAAAAATTTAAACAAAAATTGACCACTCATGGTTGTTACAGGAATTTGAATAAAAGATCCGTTGTATTGTTCCTTTTCAGTGATTCTGGCATACATTAGAGTGTTTACTAACAGTGCAGTTAATAAAAGTCCTTACATGATAGACTCTAAATTCCTGCTAATGTCTTGCTTATTTTAAGCAGTATCTACTGAAAAATTACTTTAGCATAGAAGTCTGTTACGTTTCATGATAATCCTTTAACACTGATGCTTTTATTTAATGGGAGTATACATTTCTTCTGGGATAGTTTTTAACATGGTATTATTTAAAGGGTTTTGGTTTTAAATGTTTTTACTGGTTTTAAATAAATTTTGTCCTTTTAACATTGATGTTTCTCTCCATAGATATTTGGAGTACTTACAACATGGCAGACATTGACAAGTAAGTGGCAGATAGTTGGTTTCTTTTTCAGAGATTTGTACTATGATGTAGATAATAGCAGTACTAGTTATGTATTATGAAAATGTACAGTAATGACCAATATTTAGTATCTACTATTATTAGAAGTTGCATGTTGCGTATCCAAAACAAAATATAGCATATATAATCACTGTCATAAATATTATAAGCCATTTATCAGTGCTTATTCTTAGGAAAGTGCTGCTCACAATAATGAATCATAAATACTTGCAGAGTCCATTTTTACCCTATATGTATTTCCCAGAGATTTTTACTGCTTACGTCGTAATATATCATCCATACAAGATAAAAAGTATATAAAAATGTCTGTGTAGAGTTTAAAGAAGGATAGGGCACTGTACAAGCTTTTAAAGATAGACTATTACTTTTAGAAGCCCTGTGTGCCCCTTCTCTATTGCATCCTCACCTTTCCTCTTCAGGGGTGTAAACACTATCTTGGCTTTTGTCTAATCATTTCTGTGTTTTTCTTTTAGAGTTTCGCCACCGACAAAATCTTAATTTTTAATTTTGAAAATCTGAATAGCAGTCACAAATGTAGATGTGTAAAGAAAAAGACAATATTACCACTATTAGTTGAAGGCTCCACGCTAGGAGAATAATAGGCAAAAGAGACTCTGGGTCATAGTCTGGCTTTAGTTTTACTAAGGCTTTTCAAGAGCTGATTTTGCAGAAGTCATTGGGCAAGGTCATGCATCCTGGAAATAGTGTTGGTGAAGTTGGCATCTGGTGGGATTATAATATGGATGGGTATCTTGTAGAAATATGATCAGAGAAAATGGGATGAGCTGCATTATTTGTTGCTTGTAATTTTACAGTAGCCTGCCACCTTAGAGGACAGTTTAAAACAGAATATTTGGGGATGGGGGAGGTATGATAAGATTATCCACAGCTTTTAATAGGTGGCAGAACATGGAGATGGAAGAGCAGGAAACTTAAGCACAAGGATAACACATTCGAGTACTAAACATACAAGAATCTGGCTAATCCTCCTAAGCATGCTGTCTTGAGCATAAAAAGTAGAGTGGCAGCAGGCATTTTAATAATAAAAAGTATTGTCACCTCAGTACATTTCTCCAATCTGGGTTCTTAGCCTTAGCTAAGAAATTGTGGATCTGTTTATTATCTTCCTAAGGTTGTCTTTTGTTTCTCCTTTCTTGGGTTTGTTCTTTGTTACATCCTGTTGTTTTCTTTTTTGGTTCTTTAATACCTTCTTAGAAGAGTACAAGGGAGGTAAATTACTTTGAGATGGTATAAATGAAAATGACATTTCTACTCTTATGCTTGAGAGTTTGTAGAATTCTGACTTGGGAATCATTTTAAAGAGTTTTGAAGGCAGTGCTCCATTGTCACCTGGCTTCCAGTGTTGCTGTGTTGAAATTCAGAGTCTTCATAATTCCTGATCATTTGTATATGGCACTTTTTTAAACAAATACACACTTATCTGTTTATGACTGGAAGCTACTCTGGTTTGGAGTTCAGAAATTTTTACATTGTTGGGTCTGTTTTTTCACCTCATGTTAACACATTTCAGTGGTAGACCCTTTGAATCTGGCCATTTGGCGACTTTTAGTAGTGGGGAATATTCTTATTTTGATTGTCTTTTTTCTGTTTTCTCTTTCTTGATCTCCTGTTATATTGTGCGTTAGACTGGTTCTCCTAATTACCTTCTGTACTATTATCTATCTTTGTCTCTTTGCTCTTTCTAGGAAAAGTTGAAGAAACTTCATCTTTCAACTCTTATATTGAGTTTCCAAATTTCTTTTTTGTAGTTCTCGAGAGCACCTTTGCTGTCTGTCCCTGTTGTTATAGCATCTTGTTCTTCTTGTTTTGTTGATTGTAATATGTGTTCTCTGGATGTTTCTTTCCCCTTTATTGTTCTTGGATTTTCCTTTCCTCTGTTTTGGCGTCAATGTGAGAGGCCTTCCTCAAAAGGAGGTTAATACCTGTTTGATTGCTCATTAAGACTGGGGTGGAATGGAGACAGGCAGTTGAAGGATGTTTTTAAAAAGCTCACTGGAAAATTTGGGTGTTGGGAAGGGGGATGCTTGTCCATTTGAGACTTTAATGTAGATTGCCATGGTGGGCATTTGTTGTGAGAATCCCCAGCATCAGAATTTTTTCTTGGCTGGTCAGTTATACCTCAGTGAAGAGTGGGTGTTCTGGGAGCCAAATTGGGACAGCTAGGGAGGTGTCTCTACATTCAGTACTTTAGTGTGCGTATTATCCTATCTTAGATAGTTGTAACTGTGATCCTCTAGTTCAGCTTCTCAGTTCATCCCTTTCCAGAGAAGAAACTGCCATATTCTATTGTAGTGAGGGAGGAGGTAAAGATTTAGCTGCTTGTCAGTTTTTGTTGTCTTCCCTATTTTATTCATATTAAGTGCTCTTTTTAAGATACCGTAATTGAGCTGGCCCTCAGCTTTCCCCACTACTTAGATTTCAGTTCTCAGTAAAGTTGCTGCTGTTGTCTCCTTGTCCTTTGGTGTGTGTCTGTTTAAAAATCCCTTTATCATAATTTTAGTAGGGATTCCGGAGGGATTGAGATCAGATGAGTATGTGCAGTCTGGCATTTTAACCTTCATTTCATTTTAAATTTGAGGGAGAAAAGGATAAATTGATTCCCTCTTTCATTATTTAATTTTGGATGCCTTTGTAGGGGGGGAGGGAAGAGGGGATTTTTGTTTTTTAAAGCAGAAGTTACCGAACTTTTCTCTGTAAAGGACCTAAACTTAAATATAGTAGGCATTTTGGGCCATATGTTCTTTTGCAACTACGCAACTGCTGTTTTAGCGTGAAAGCAGCTGTAGACAATACATAAATGATTAACATTGCTGTATTGCATAAAACTTTATTCACAAAAATAAGAGTGAGCTGGATTTGGCCATATGACATAGTTTGTGGACCCCTGTTTTAAAATTGTAAGATTTAAATGTTTAATAAATGGTTGAGTGAAATGACACTGGAGGAAGAGCTGTTCCGTGTTATCTTTAGTTACCCTTTACTCTAAGTATACTTAAGTTTATGCTGTCAGAGATACTACAGGAGTGATTATTTTGTTTTTGATAAGGCTGATTTTTTTTTCCCCTTAGTTGACAGGAACATAAATTTTGCTGGCAGAGTACAGTTAGCCTTTTCTATACTTGTCCACATATGGAAATTAGATAGTACTTGTCCACATATGGAAATCTTTTAAATGCTGTTTGTAAACATGTAAAGCAACCAAATCTCTAAACAAAATATTAAAATGTAAAGTCACAAAAGGAATTATATGATGATCTATATATTGATGTAGCTATTCTTATTTCCCTTTTTAATCCTGGTCATAATTTCATGTACAGAAACCAGATTTTTAAGATGAAATGAGAAGAATGTTATTTTAATACTTTTTATCTTCTCTTTCAATGGTGCCATCTTCTTGGCCTTCTTGTATGCATGAAGTAGTCTCAGGCCTTCTCCTTAACCTTTACTGTTCCCATCTCCACTGTGAAGTACCATAAAAGGAGGAATGTCCACAAAGATAGTGAGTACAGGCTGATAGGGCTGTTTCACGGCCATCAGGGATCCAGGATCCTTTTGTTTTTCCAAACTCTTTCATCCTTAGCTGGTTACTTCCATTAACTAGGCTGCCTCATGGTCCAAAGTTGCTGCTGGGGCTCTAGCCATCACATCCATATTCTAGTGAGGAACCAAGGTCAAAAAGGCCTCCTAGATGTTTACCATCCTATAAAGGAAGCTTCTTCAAAGTTCTATACTACTATTACTTTTCTTTCTGCTAAACAGTCACATAGACACATCTAATTAAAATGTAGTCTGGGAAATGTAGATATTTTAGTTTTGTAAACTACCACCTCATAAAATTAGGGTACTGTTACGAAGAAAAAACATTAGATGTTAGGTAGAAAGCACATACTTCCTGATACCACAGTCTCTGAACAAAAACCTGTTAAATCACATTTTTAAAGCTTGAAGTATAAACTTTATATTTGACCACATGCTTTTAAATGAAGTTTTAAGTATTTGTACTGCTTACATATGAAGTTAGAAAGAAAATAGTTATGTTTCGCGTTTCCTATTTCATATTTTTAAAAGAGGCATATTAACCTAGAAAATTAAGTTTTTCTATATATTTTTTTCTTATTTTTGGTAATTTGGTACATTTGAACTTGGTGTAATACTATGATATTGTAGCAAAGAACAGTCTGAACTTGATCAAGATTTGGATGATGTTGAAGAAGTAGAAGAAGAAGAAACTGGTGAAGAAACAAAAATCAAAGGTATTTAAATTTTTTCAGGATCCAGTGATTACTGGTACATGTCTTCTATAGGGTAGTCACAAATACCATTCTCTTTTTGATTCTTGTCTGTTTTATCCACTGGCCCATACCTCAGTTCAGTAACTGTGTGTTGTACGGGGAGGGATGGAGGAAAGATGGGGATGAAATGAGAGTAATGGAGGAGAGTATGGGTATAGTGACCCCTCAGAAGTCACTGTGTATACCCATTACTGGTAGAGTGATGTGGCATAGCTGTGGCAAACAGTTTAGCTACAGTGAGTTTTGCTTGAATTTAGAAATGTTAGAGGCGGTGGTGGTGGGAGTTGTTTTGGTGGTGCTTGTAAACAGCACTAGCTTAGGCTTATTTGCTTGAAAATATTTCATATTCAGTATGTAGACAATATGTAGTTGTGTGTTCATGTGTCCTTTTTAATCCATCCCAACCAAACAACTAAAAAGAGACGTGTTTTAAGTTATGTCCTGTAGATATGGGCCAAGAATATTAAAGTATCAGATGATTCAACTTTTTATTTCTAAGCCAGAATAAGGTTAATTGTTAAAAGACTACTGAATTTAACAGTTTTAGCTTTTATCTTGCAACATTTTCTTAACAGACTGTCCTTAATGGCCGATATTGATATTCTAAAGGCATGTTTGTTATCACAATAGTACACTATCTAATAACCAGATTAATATTAGCAGTAAATTGAACTCTAAAAACATAATTGGGAAAATGCGATTTGGAATGTCTGTTGAAGATAAAATAGCAAAACTTTTTTACATAAATCTAGCTTATTTTTGTATTAAGTATAATTTTCAGACACCATTGATAACCAAATTTTGTTTGGCTTTAGTTACAACCTTTGACTATCTCAGCTGTTAAACTTTCTCTGTTGAGATACACACAGGCACACTGTACAAACAAAAATCAAATAAATACTCAGGTCACTCATTCCACTTTCTTACCCAGACTTGTAACTGTCACTATGTTTGCAGTGTTCTGATGTGTTGTCCGCCTTTGAAGGATTATCAAGAGTCATAGATAGGCATCTGGATGAAGCTTTGAGCTTCCCAAAATGCATGATTGCTGAAACAAAGGATAGTAGTAAGAGAAAGGATATTGTTGATAGTTGTGTAAATGGTCTTGAGAAATGGCATGCATCAAAGATCACTAGGAATCTGAACTTCTCCTGCACATTGCGTTTTCCTGGAATGAATTTTCTTTAGCTTGCTGCTTGTTTCTACTCATACTAGTGATTATTGGCCAGTCAGGGAAACCCCATGATTGGATTGTCCTATTAAAATAGCATAATGCATTTTCATAAAATCCTTCTTTCGATGCCCTTTTTTTTTTTTTTTAAGCGCGTCAGCTGACTGTTCAGATGATGCAAAATCCTCAGATTCTTGCAGCCCTCCAAGAAAGACTTGATGGTCTGGTAGAAACACCAACAGGATACATTGAAAGGTACAAGTTCTTTTTCATAGTCTTTTATTTCTCTTTCTATAATCAGCATTGCAGGTGTATCTATTTTTAAGACCATCTGGGACTTATGTATGTAATAGTGGAAAGCTAATGTTTGTAATATCTAGTATAGGATTATTTGGAGTTCAAGGTTTTGGTTAAGTACCATCAATTTAGAGTTGGTCTTTTAAATTTTATTTTCATCTCCACAGGAAGTATACTGATCTTAATCATTTCTGAGATTTGTTTAGAGGTTTGTTAGAATGCACAGAATTAGAAGAAATAACAGATTTTTTATTTATTTTGTTGATCATATAAATCATTAATAATAGCCCAAATATCCTCTTGTGCTTGTAATTTTTTTACATGGCTTTATGATTTTAAGATCCATCTATGTTGCTATCTATATGTATCTCTAGTAGCTTCTAGCTTCTGAATGTTGCCCAGGTCTCATGATGTTTGTCCACCATGTTTTATTGTTTTTTCTTTGATGGGTACCTAGATTGCCTCCAAGCTCATCAACACAAAGTTTATTGTAATGGTCATCCTTGTACATGGTCTCTTAAGGAACTATGTAAGAATTTTCCTTGTGATACGTACTTACCAGTGGGTTTGCTAGCGGGTTTGCAAACCTTAAGTTCTTCCCACTTGCTTTGTAGAATGACTGTATCCAATGCACGAAGGTTGCTTTATGTATGTGTCCTTTCATGTGTCACATTTGGCATCATTCAGCTCTATAGGTTTTGTTTTATTTTTTACCAATTGAAGAGGTGCAGCCTTATTTATTTTTTTCTGATTTCTCATGAGTTTCTCTTCATGATTGTGAGGCTTTTCAGGTTGCTCATTTGTACTCTGCTCTTTTTCCTATTTGGGTTTACTGGTTTTTTTTTTTCTTGTTTTGCAGGAGTTCTTAGGTATTCTAGGTATTCCTTTTCCATTTTAGACTTTGTAAATCTATTGTGTCATTTTTATTTACTTTACGCATAGCATCCTCCATTAAACAGAAGTTATTTTTATATTTGTTAAATTTTTCAACCTATGGTTTGTTTTTGAAGTTAAGTCCTTCCTAGTTCCTTCTCTATTTCCTATTGACTAGTTTTACCTTTTACCTTTAGATCTTTAATCTCTTTAGAGTACACCTTTTTATTAGGTGTGAATAGGCATCCATTTTTTCTTTTTTTCCTTTGTTAGTGAGCTAGTTTTTGTAACACTTCAAACAGTTCATTTTCCACCATTTGTGGTACCACCTTAATAGCATGTCACTTTCTTTATAAACACCTGTTTTGTCTTTGAGCTGAACTCTCCTGTTTCTTTTCTTTTTGGTCTCATTATTGTCACACATAGTTACTATGGCGTTATAGTAGGTTTTTAATATCTGGCACGGTGAGTAGCTTTCTTCCACCACCCCTCACCTCACTCACCTCCCCCCAACACCCTCATGATTGACCTGTCAACCATCTGTAGACCTTTATTGCATATATGGTTGACAGTAAGTTTATGAGCGTTCTTTCAGAAACGAACTAAACTAAAATTTTCATAGCGATTTCACTGAATAAACATAATGAACATGGTAGAAAAAGTTGATTCTGTATCTAGAAATCTTGCTATACTTAACAATAGTAACTTGTCCTATAGTTTCCCCCATGGGCAAAAGATTTTATAACACTGCCAGGATTTTCAGTATTATGGTAAGCATTAGTGTTAAAATGGGCATCTTTGTCTTATTTCTAATCTTAACCAGGAGTGAATATAAAATCCCCATTAAATATTGTGTGTCTGTGGTTTCTTTATGACCTTTTTTCTGTCAGTTCATTTAGATTGTCTTCTGACTTTTTCTTTGAATCTGTTCAGTACATATTAAATGTATATTTTTGGAAATACATATTTTGGATATCAAACTAACCTTGCATTCCTGGAATAAGCTTAATCATGTGTTATTTCATTGAGTTGGGTAGTTAATATTTTATTCAGCGTCCTTATTCATTAGTGAAGTGAACATAGGAACATAGATCTGCATACGTGCATTTATGTATGTGTGTACAATAAAAAAGCTTTCAGAGGTGGCAATTATATCCCCTGGTTTTAGAGCCAAGATTATGATTGCCTAATGAAATGAACATGGTTGCTTTTTTTTCCTGTTTTCTTAAATCTAAGATAGGAATTAACTATTTCTCGAACTGGTAAAATTCTTCTAAAAATGGACTTGGACCTTTGGAATTTGGAAAGTAAAGGTCCTGGGGAATATTTTTCCTTCCATTCTCCCTCCCTTTCTCCCTCTCTCCGTCCGCGCCCCCCACCCCCACCCCTTCACCTCAAGTTCTCGCGCCAGTTTTGAAAATGTATGCATTTCTAAAAATGTGTGCATTTTACTAGGTTTAAAATTGATTAGTACATATAATTCATGATATTTTTAGAGATCTGATTATTTTGCCTTTGTATTCTGTATTTTGCATCTTCATTAGTTTTGCCAGTTGCCTCAGTCTTTGTTTTTAAGAACCCGCTTTTGATTTTCATTTCCATATTGTTTTTTTGTTCTTAATTGCTGCTCTTTCTGTCTTTAATATTATTTCCTTATTTCCAGTTTTCCAGTGCCTCTTTCCAATTTCTTCAGTTAAATGTTTAGTAATTTGATATTTTTAAAAAAGGTTCCTTTTATCTTTGTGGCCTTAATCTGTTTTTGTGAATGATAAGTGTGAAGATCTATATGCTGAAATTAATAGTCCAAGCCTAATCATTATGTTGTTCATGTACTTATTATTTTCTGCATCTAACAGTGTCTAGGAAGGATATGTTTAAAATGTCTGCTTACTTTATCTGTTTCTTCCTGTAAATCCATCAGTTTTGGATTGTGTCATAAATTTTCTTATTTCTGATATTAAGATAGCTTTCTTTTGGGTTTTGTTTATCTGGTATGTCTTTCCATTCTTGTATCTTGCTCTAATGTGTATGTTTGCCTCTTTATTAGTAATTTGAACTCTTTACATTTCTTAAAATTGGTAATGCTTTTGAGCTCAATTGCTACTGTCTTTTCCTTATTTTTAAATTTATCGTATTTATTTTTTCCCCTTTTCCACTTTCATTGAACAGATTGAGTTGTCTTCTGCTGGTTTCAAAGTTAATGTATTCTTTTTTTGTTATTGTGGTAAAGGCTCTAACCTAATGCCTAAGTTAATTTACCCCTATTGATTTTTTAAATTTACCAATATCTATATTGTTTACAGATAACTTCTAGTCCTTTGTTTTTTTCCTTCAAGGAAGCAGTAAAATTTATTAAGGTATTTGACCACTGATAGCTTATCTATAGCCTCTCTAGGATTTTTTAACTTAATTCAAAAATCATCTTTAATGATTACAATGAGTATTTGGCACACTTTCTAAAGCCTGATTACAACAGCATACAATTTTTATTTTGCCTTCATATCTGAACAATAGTTTAGCTATAAAATTTTAAGTTTAAAGTTCTCAGTCATCTTTCAAATTCACTTTATTACTTCTTTTGTATACACAGTGTTTTCTTTTTAAGTCTGATACCAGTCTGGTTCCTTTTGTAGGTTATTTGCTTTCTTCATTGAACTCTTAAAATTTTCTTTTGTCTTTTGATATTCATAAATACCATTAATATGTCTGGGAGTAGAGTAAGGATTTTTATATTGCATTAATTCCAAGATTCTCATTTCTTTAGATACTCATCTCCTTTTTTTCAGCTATTGTTCAGTTTGTCATTCATCTCATATCTGGATATTTTCTACCTCCTATCCGGAGACCTTTTAAACCTCATGGACTTTTTCTTCATTTGAACTTGCCTTGTTTATCCTATTTGTTGGTCATTTTAGTCACTGTATTTTTTCATATATTCCTACCTTGTTTTAGAGTTCTTGGTCTTAGTTCATATTGTTAGTATATTCCTTCATCTCTAAGTATATTTATATTCTTTTGAAATTCCTAGTCTAATAGTGCTGCTTCAGATGATAAGTATTTCATTCTTTCATAAAAATTATACTCAAGTGTTTAGTTATTTTGGCCTTAGATCTTGGAGATACTGGACTATAGGAGTTATTCCAGTAATGAGTATTGAGGGAGGAATGAAGCTCAGATTCTGGTTTGTGACAATCCCATGGAATTTAAAGAGAAGGGGAGGGGATGAGCCTAAGGAGAGTTCCCGTTACCTCAGATTTAAAGTTTGCTGACAATTCTGGGCAAATTTTTTGGCTACTTTGGGAGGAGGCAGTCTTTTGGTTGCAGTCCATTGTACCCAGATTTCAGGAGTCAGCCCTTGTGGGTTCTGAGCCAGAGTAGGGGTAGTGGCTGGTAGCCCACTAACAGAACAGCATTAAGCTTTTTATATTTAATTGTAAGAAAATGTTGATATCTTTAGGTATTTGTTTTTTACTTTTATCTAACTAAAGTTGTGGTGAAGTAAGATAATCACTTGATATACAACAATCTGTTTATGGCAGGAAATTCTAACCTGGATTCTGGATCTGTTACACAGATTCCCTGAAGTTAGGTAAATTTTGAGTGTGACCATATTTTGGGAGGAGGAGTGGTTCATAAGTGTACGCAGCTCTTTGAGGGGCTCACAGACTAGGTACATATAATCTTTTAAAAATCTGTGTGGCACCGTAAATTGTATAATTCATGAATTATATTTCAATAAAGCTGTTAAAGAGCTCGTGTCTCCTCTTCATAAAATACTACATTCTTATTTAATGTAATTTCAAATTCCAAATTAAATAGAGACCAAAATAGAAAATAATGATATAGGGTACTGTCCTTTTTCCCAATATACACATGCTTCCTTCCTTTCCCCCAATACTAACTGGTACAGGTGAGGTACCACCTTCTTTTTTTTTTTTTTTTTCTTTTTTAAGGAAATTCAGGTTATCTTTGTTCTTAGGGTTAGCATTGTCATTCCATGACATTTTAACTTTATAAGGTAGGCTGTGTTTTACAGCTGAGATGCCGTTACTGATAACAAAGCTAAATATGAGTACAATGAAAGATCTGGGTTGATAATATGATTTATATTTTTCTGTCAGTTTACTATACCTGGTTAAATTTCTGCTTTTGAACTTTTACAGTCCAGAAGCCTGTGTATTTTATATCTCTTAAAGTTCAGTTACTTTGAATTAGCATATCTTTGCTTCATATAGGAAACATATCATTCACTAACTTTTTTTGCTTCAGTTTCCATAAGATAAAAGAAGTGTGACTTGTGTCTTACTGTCATGCTGTAACTGGTTCTTTCTAACCTTTCAGCTTGCCTAAGGTAGTTAAAAGACGAGTGAATGCTCTCAAAAACCTTCAAGTTAAATGTGCACAGATAGAAGCCAAGTTCTATGAGGAAGTTCATGATCTTGAAAGAAAGTATGCTGTTCTCTATCAGCCTTTATTTGATAAGGTAATGCTTTCTACTACTTCTTTTTATTTATCTAAAATTTGAGAAGGTAGTAAAGCTCTGGAAACAATCTTTAGACCTTTCAGCAAAATAGTTATTAAAAGTACATATTTGGGAGAACCATCAATAGTAACAATCTAAGTTGTGGTATGCATTAATTAAATCTGCGGGTTCTTAATGAGAAACAGCTAATTTTTCGCTTGCTTGTCAGTGTTGTTTTTTTTTTTATGTAAGTTTTTTTTTTTTAATCATTTTAGCGATTCGAGATCATTAATGCAATTTATGAACCTACTGAAGAAGAATGTGAATGGAAACCAGATGAGGAAGATGAAATTTCGGTTGGTACCAACTTGAATTTAGTGTGTTTCATACCTTGGAAATAAACATTTTTCCTTTGAACTTCATGATGACATGCAAAGGATTGTTCCCTTTTTTCAAGTTAAGAAATGGATACCTCTAAGTGACTTGTCTTCAACTAATAATGGCAGAGCACAAATCGGTGCTCTGTTACATGACCCTGTTTCTCCGGAATTGCTATTTTAATGTTGGTTGATTAAAAGAATATATTTTGATTAAGAAACATGGAGGAATGAGGCATTGGGCAAGGATTATATTTGTTTTGGTTTTCTTGTTTACTGTGTTTAAAAGTCATTTTCATGAATTAATCTTTTTCCTAAAACTTTTTTTCTGCAGCTCCTGGTCCTGGTAGTTCTCTTTGGGAGCAATATTATAGTAGCAGTATTTATAAAAGTGGGTTTGGTAAGGGTAACAGCAATGTTTACGCATTTGGACTGGAACTGTTAGGGCTGAAAGTTGTAATTAGTGATAGAGGGTTTGCTGGTTTCTGTACTTGTGTCACTGCATTTAAATTAAGGGAATATGTAAGATTTTAATCAAGAAGTTTTATCTAAGTATTCAGTAATATGTGCTGTTGTTTATCAAGGAGGAGCTGAAAGAAAAGGCCAAGATTGAAGATGAGAAAAAGGATGAAGAAAAACAAGACCCCAAGGGAATACCTGAATTTTGGTTGACTGTTTTTAAGAATGTTGACTTGCTCAGTGATATGGTTCAGGTAATATTTCTAAAAATATAGCAGTTTATCTTAGAGAATAAACCTTTGAAATTAAAATGTCTGATGACTAGTTTTATCACTGTTGACGTCTGTAGAATGATTGCTTTCTTTGAAACAGATGGTAGGTATAGAGGGAAAGTTGCAGCTTTGGTTCATATAACCAAATAAATTATTCATTTTAAAAAATTAGATAATTGAATGGCCCCTTTGATAATTGCTCATTAATGTCTCTTGATTTCTCAGGGCTCTGTTGCCTTCTTAGATGCTTAGTGTGGGGATAGGATGTGACAGACTTTAACAGTTTCAATTGTCTTACCCAAAAGACTTTTCAGTCTGAAACAACTATTCCAAAGAACATTTGCATTTTAAAAGAGTACTGCAGATATCTTTAACTCTTTTTGTAGTTGTCACTTTCTCTGGGAAACATTGTCCTTCTTAATCAGAAACATTTCTTGAGCCACCACCACCTGTATTGTAGTACTTGTTGCCTGATATTGTGATTGTTGGGACTTAATGTCAAGAAAAAGAAATTTCAAAACAATGACTGTCTATTGAATTTCTGCCTTAGCCAGGGAGGAAAGCATCAAGCAGAAAGAAGGAAAGGAACAAGAGCAGCTAAGAGCAGTAGTTACAAAAGCAAATGTGCCTGTTTTAGACTTGGTTTTGTACTCTTTATCCCATGATAACTAGCTCTTTATGCCATTTGGTCTGGATCAGTCATTGCTACATAAAACTTCACTATAAAATGTCAGTCATCTAAGTGTTTATTGTCCGGTAACAGAACACTTAATTCTAAAATGCCACATTTCTCTCCCTCTCCCTCCCTCCGTCCCTCCCTCCCTCCCTCCCTCTCTCTCTGTATATATTTTTTTAATTTGAAGGAACATGATGAGCCTATTCTGAAGCACTTGAAAGATATTAAAGTGAAGTTCTCAGATGCTGGCCAGCCTATGGTAAAAACTTTGAAATACTTCTAATTTTGTAACATTAGGTGTTTACAGATAAATAAACAAGAATTTTTAAAAAGAGGTGTGACATTCGAAGGGGTGAGAAGAAATTAAAAGTGATACTTCATATACTTAATTGTTGGTAAGAAATAAATGTTTGAATGTTGATAATGTGTTACAACATTTATTCTTCCTTCTGCCTTTTAACTTTTCAAAATGTAGTCTATTCTTGATCTTGGCTTAAAAATGGATTAAAAAATAATATCAAGGAAACATGAGTAACAAAATACTTATTCTGTATTAAAAGGCATGGGTCTGGGAATTACATAAAACGAGATGTTAAGACCTCTACTTCCCCATTATGAGAAATTAACCAACAGCTTCTCCCAGAAACCATCAGTGGTATTATGTAAAGTATGGGCAAAGCTACTATAGGCTATAGATACTAGCACGTAATAAAGTTGGGCTTTTTCCTCTGTCAAGCTCAGGTTCTAGTGTAAGATTTATAGGTCTTTGGAGGGATAGAGGAAGGAAAGGGGTGGACTTGGTCAGTTGAAGGTTATTTACTGAAGCATTGAAATGGATGATACAGGAATTTAATTAGTTTTTATACTTTTTTTTTTTTAGAGCTTTGTTTTAGAATTTCATTTTGAACCCAATGAGTATTTCACAAATGAAGTATTGACAAAGACATATAGGATGAGGTCAGAACCAGATGATTCTGATCCCTTTTCTTTTGATGGACCAGAAATTATGGGTTGTACAGGGTGAGTTTCATTTTACTATATTAACAGAATGTTACATGTTTTTGTTTTACTTAACAATTTGTGATATTGGTAATTCCTAAGGTGTGTGCTTGATACATACATACATAGTATACCTCCAAACAAGTGAGTAAAATGTTTTCTGAGAATTTAGTCATTTTCCTAGAATTTTTCTTGGCCTCTGAGCTATTACAGACTTTTCTCCAAAGGGAGTGCACAGTTTCATTTGTTATATTGCGAATTTGTGGTAATTGTGAATATATTTATTGAAAAAGTTTGTTTAGAAATAAATTTTTTCTCTTTACACTGCTACAGAAAGCTTTTGGACCAATTTTTCCCTCTAAGATTCAAAATTAATATACTATTTATTTACAAAAATCTTAGCTCTCCTTGCAATTAAAAATAATGTGTTAATTGTGATGGATTTTTTCCCCCCTCTTTGTTTTGGAAGGTGCCAGATAGATTGGAAAAAAGGGAAGAATGTCACTTTGAAAACCATTAAAAAGAAGCAGAAACACAAGGGACGTGGGACAGTTCGTACTGTGACCAAAACAGTTTCCAATGATTCTTTCTTTAATTTTTTTGCCCCTCCTGAAGGTAAATAGTGTTTTGGTTTGGATATTGATGGTTGTTTTATCATAGTTCTGTTTAATTTTTTACTTATTTGGATTTTTCTTCTCAACTTTGCAGTTCCTGAGATTGGCGATCTGGTAAGCTGAATTTTATTTGTTGAATTGTTTCCTGTGTATGAAATGAAGATTGGTTTTCAAAAGTACAGAATAGGGTAGTTGCTACTAGTATTTTTTCCTTGAGACTTGCTGTACATAGGGAAGACCTTTATGCATCTGAAAAATTCCATTCAAAGTACCCCTAGTGGTTTCCCTGAGAAATGCTGGAAAGTTAAGGTTTTTATTTTTATTTTATTTATTTATTTTTGTTTTTGAGACTTAGCAGATATTGCTGTGAGGGATTCAGATTTTCAAGACTATAGTTTTCTTCCTAATTGAAACTAGAATGTATTTATGAAAACCTGAGATTCTCCTTCTGTTATCCCATTTGGTGTTTTTAGTAACTAATATTTTAAAAGGAAAATGTTAGTCACATAACCAAGTTGTTTATTTATACTTTACTTTTAAGCTGTAAAAGAGTAAGCAATAACCAGCTCTAATTTTTATTTCCCAAAATTTCTCTGAGTATATACACTTAATTTCTAACCTAATTTCTTTTTATTAAAAATCTTTAAATGACTACTTGATCATGCCACATGTAAGCTAGTTTAAAAATTATGAGAAGTTAAAAGTGAGGTTGAGTTTCTTCATGATTTAAATCCAAGAGTCTTGCATGTGCCAATTAAATAACAGAGTTATTAAATTTTGTACTTTTTCTTAAATAGGATGATGATGCTGAAGCTATCCTTGCTGCAGATTTTGAAATTGGTCACTTTTTACGTGAGCGTATAATCCCAAGATCAGTGTTGTACTTTACTGGAGAAGCTATTGAAGATGATGATGATGATGTGAGTGAATCTGAATCCTGCAATAAAATCATTTGTTGAGGGTATGATAGTCAGAATTAGTGAGAAGTTTAATGAATAGATGTAGTAATTTTTAGAAAGCAAGACAGAATAATGCTATTAGTATAATTACTAATTTCCTGTAGATAACTTTCCTGAATTGTTTTAAATAGGCCCTCTTTGGGTCCAATTATTGTACTTTTTATTTTTCTGCTAATTGGAAGACTGGCTGAATTAGTAAAAATTTATTATGTTTGCTTAGTGTTGGAGATCTATTATGCTCGTTAACCAAATAAAACATACCAAGGACTTTTTTTAATGCTTAAGGTAACAGTATTAGGAAGCATAGAGTTTTTATCCCAAGGAATATCATGAAATGATTAAGGTACAATTAGGCTGCCCTCAAAGGTTTGGGCGTTTTTATTGCCAAATAGCAATAATTCAAAAGGACTTCCTGTGCAGTGTGTTTCACACATAAGTATAAGCAAGTAGTATTTACACTAATAATTCTCTGATCATACTTTATCCACAATTGTACTTTGCTCTGATTTTTCCAAATTGTCAAATTTGTATGGCACTGAGCTGAGTGACTCAACAGCAATTGCTCTTGTTTTAATTTATAATCAGGCACTTTAGGGAAAGTATTTTTCCTCTGTTTAATTATTAGTGGGTACAATGGTGGATGTAAATAATGCTGTTCTCAAAAGTCTGTTAGCTTCATCAAACTTGATCCTTTTTTCCTTTTTTAGTATGATGAAGAAGGTGAAGAAGCGGATGAGGTAATGTTTACAAAATGAGCAAATTCTGTTTCAAACACATTGAGAAGCAAATTGAGTGACTTATGTATTCCTTTGCTATAATCATTATTCTGTGATTTGGGATAAAAACATTTTTTTGGAAAAATTATGATTTTAGAATCTACAGCCAAACAATGTATGTATAAGGTTTCAATAAATAAATTGCAAAACTCAGAACATTTTTTTTATTTCAAATAATTCTGTTCTGCTGCAGGGTTATCAGCTCTTTGAAGAAGTCAAAAGCTGCAGTAAACTTTTTCAACGTTGGCTGCAGTAAATCTTTTCAATAAAAGCTGTCTGGATGTCTCAAGTTGTGTTGGGAAATTTTTCATATTAGAAGCTTTCAAATTAAATTGCATTGTCACCAAACTTTGTAATCATGAAATTCTGTTGACCTATAGAGTAACTTGTATTAAATTCTTCCTACATTATGAGCCATTTCTTGCTACTCTGTACCTACTTCATGGATGCATTTTGAACTTTAATATAGGAAGGGGAAGAAGAAGATGAGGAAAATGATCCAGACTATGACTCAAAGGTGAGCAAAATTAGTGCTGTTTTCTGTTAAGTTTAAATTAGGTGAGGTTAGAGTTGGTGTATCTGAATATAAAGTTTAATTTTGTGCATTAAAGTCTAGCCCATTGAGATAGAGAGTGTGAGGGTGTGTGTCCCCGTGTTTTTGTGCAATCCCACTGGCATTTCAACAGTACGCATAATTTCAGTGCACCTCTCCTAAGAAATGTTTATTTTTGGTTCTGACCATGTATTTTTCAGTTTCTATTTTAATGACATGTTATCATGTACATTTTAAAAATAGTGTTTTAGAAGTATTTTTAAATTAACAGCTTGTGGTTTTAGGTGGTTTTCCCTCTAAAGGAAGGCTCGTAAAGGTCAGTTTTTAAATCGTCTCAATGCAGGAGTGCTTGGTTAGAGTCTTTCAACCACCTCTCTACATCGCTGGGTCCCAGTCTTATTTCTGGCATTTGTCATATCAGGGTTAGTAAAGGCCTTTGTCTTCCCACAAAATACATCATACATGTTACCGGATCCATTTGAAACTCTGGTTTCTCTTTAATACATTCATTCATTTGCTAAATACTATAAAATACCTAGAAGATAACATTAACCAAGTGAGCAGGTAAGAGGGGATAGTTAAAAATCAAATTAAATATTTTAACAGGTATGAATTTAACAGCTATATTATGAATGGAATTAGTATTTTTTTTTAATAACTGATCTATATAAGAAGGGAAAAATAACGGGTACTATGACTAACATAAATTGCTTAGTTACCTAATTTTTTGAGATATGGCTTAGTGTGTATCATTTTATGGAGTTCATTCTACAGTTTAAAATTTGGGTTTTACATTTTCATTATCTGCTAATGTTTGAATAAATAAACTTGCTATCATTGTTATACCCTTTAATTTGGCAAAAGAGAGAGCAGTGAGATGTGATGATTAAGGTAGTTAATTACTAATGAAAAGTTAACTGAAGCAGGTAGAAAAAGATAGATTGACTTGTTGTTTTCCTTTAACAGAAGGATCAAAACCCAGCAGAGTGCAAGCAGCAGTGAAGCAGGATGTATGTGGCCTTGAGGATAACCTGCACTGTAATAGCCTAAACACAACTATTATTTACTTACAGCCTTATGTTTTTGTATTTTCTTGGTAGACTCAGTAATTTTTTTCAAAGGAAAGGAGTTGATATTTTGAAGACAATTTTGTTCTACCTATCATTTTAACCTTAGCTTTTCTGCCAGATATGTTGAATGCAGAAATTCTCTTAACACTTTTTCATTCATTGCTACATAGTTTGGTTCTTCTGGGGTATTTTTATCATGTAATTGTTAGATTATAGCTACGAAAATAAATAACTGTTAAACAGATTTTTATGTTTTGCTATTTTTTTCCTTGAAGAACCAAAGTGTTTTTTCAGGTAGTTGTTACATGGGTTTAAGTTGGCTTGCACTAGCTTTGCCTTTCACTACTTTGTTTTAGAAATGCAGTGCCTATATAAAAACAATTTATCACTTAAAAAAACAAAAACTTGTCAAGCTAAGTCTATGGTTAAGAATTTCCAGTAAGACCATACACATTAACTTAGATTAATAATAGATTTTTATATTTTAAGGGATGTAGTTAAACTAAAGAACCCTAACTCAGTAGTATGGTTATTGGTTACCATAGGGAGGTGAATAAATCTGGTATTTTCAGAAATTAAGCTTTATTATTTTAACTGTACTCTTAAATTTAACCTCCATTAACTAAGCATCTTTTCTTTGTGGTAGGGTCTACCTTCTGCTTCCCTGGAAAGGATGAATTTTCATCATTTGACAAGTTCATTTCAAGTTTTTTGTTGTTGATTGTTTGCTTGCTTGCTTTTGTTTTTGCAGCCTATAATAAAAATGTTAAATATAATTTTAGTTCTCACAAATAATGTCTTAATTTTGTACTAATTCAGGCAGAAGTAGAGCTCTAGTTTGAATTAAATATTGTACTCAGTTTATCATCATTGGAGAAAAGGGTGCCAACTTTGGAAGAGGTATACTGCATTTAATGAGAAAGTGTAAAAAACAAAGACAACTGATGTAATTTTTTTTTTTAAGTTTTATTTCTTTTGTTTAAAATGAGAGAGGGCCCCTAGCCTCTGGTTAATTCCAATTCTTATTGTTTAAAGTATGAACATATTATTTACCCATGCTTCTTACTATGTATTAAAATGGGTAGTACTGTTTACTTAACTACCTCACATGTGTTAGGCATATTAAGTTAAATTATATGACATGTTTCTCAACCTTATTAAAAGCTTAAAATTTGGACCTGTTTGCACCACAAGTATGATATTTCAGCCTTTTATTCTACCATAGTTTGATAAACTAGAAAACAAAGTACTTTTTCCTGGGATCTGGTCAGGCAGTGCTCTTTGTGTGGCTCCTATTTCAATAGAAATGGATAGATAGCTAACTATTTCAAAAAGTCCCAAAGATTGTTTTTAGGTATCTCCGTTATGACCATATTGTAGAGATCATGGTACTAAAATAGGAATAAGACTGGGGGGTGGGTGGAATGCCATTAAATTTGAGATTGTAGAGCCACATTTAAAATACCTCAGGCTAATTACTGTTAATTTTTTGTGGTGAACTTAAAAGCTTTGGCAGTTAGGGTGGACTAATTGGATTGTAATTGGAGAACAGGTTAGAATTTCTGCTCATAATAAAGTAACATTAGGTTCATTTTTAGAAGTAACAGCTTCCATTTTTGGAATGTGAATACATTTTGTTATTTGTATAGTATTATCTATTTTACTCCTGAGATTTTAATTAACTACTGGAAATCCTTAACCAGTTGCAGTAGTTTATAGGGAGAAAAATGCCATGGAAACATCTTATGTGTTTCTTCCTCATTTTCAAAATGATACTGGTTGCTTTGATCAGACAGTCTGTACTATTTTTTTTTTTTTGTACCCATACCTCAACTGAACACAGCTGAACTTAAAGAAATGTTAACCTAATAATAGAATCCCATTTTTAATGAACTTAGAGTAGCAAAACCAGTAATTTTTTTTTTTTTCATTCTTTTAGGAAATAGCTATTGCCAAAGCGGGGGAATAATACTATTTCGTCTTGCTAGATAAGGGTAAATGTGGTTTGCAGAACAATTGTTCTCATAATAAAGTTGGGGTTTCAAGGGGTATCAGTGTTCATCTCTGCCATCTCTCCAGTTCCAAAATGGTTCTACTCCATTCAAGAAATTTGAAATATGTAATTGGAAATCCTTAATAAAATGTGCATTTAATTTTATAAAATGTACTGGTGATGTTTTGGGTGGTATTTTTTTCTTTTTTTCTTTTTTTTAATGACTCTTACCTTTTTTGTAAGAACAGAGAGTAGGGATATTTAGAGTTGGCTATTCTATGCTTAGGCCGTGGCGGCCTGTAAATTGGCATAATTTCAGATTATGAGCAACTTTCCAAACTCTGCTAAACAGAGTTTGTTATTGGAAGACTAGAAAGAAGGGATTCCATAGTTCTCAAGATTTTACTGAGTTAACAACTATAGATATTTTTTGAAACACTTCAAATTTTTAGTTTGTAGTTTTATGAAAGTAAAACTTACGGAATTTCTTAGAATTCTTTTATCTCAAGCAGTATTTCTGAGACAATTATATAGAACTGGTACAGAGTAGTAAATACTTAAGAAAAATGGACTTCTACCTCTACTTCTGTTTTAGCTCATTTAATAACAAGTAGACAGGAAAAAGGAGACAGTTTAAATAGAAATATTTTCATTATTTTGTGAATAGGTTAATGATATCGATTGGTATTTAAGTCCTCTAAGATAGTTGAGTTAACTTTATATTACTGCTGCTTGTAACACTATGAATTCATGTATCTATTTGTGAAAACATTGTACGATGCAGAAACATTAAAACTAACATTCAGATATTTGAATGTTTGGTTTCAGGGCTTGGTTTAGAATTTGAGTCCATTTTAAGGGTTGGTTAATCTTAGAAAAATCTTAGCCTTTATATTTTTGACTATTGAAATCAAGCTGGATGTTATTTTATTTTCACTTATTTTCTTTTCCACAATTTTAAAATTCAAAGTATACTCAAAGAATTACCCAACAAAGAACTTCAAGGGGCACTCTTTGGTTTGGGGGCGTCTACATCATAGGTTCCAAATAATTTTGGCACCTGTTTTAATACACAGACCCTTATGCAAATAATCAATAGTAGGTCCCAAATTAGTTTATTGGGATCACACTAAATGGAAACAGGGTGCCCCTGGTAATGTTTGTGGGGTTACTGAATGCGAAACGAATGGACATGTCTCATTTTAACCGTCATAGAACACTTCTCACCAAAATTTCCCTTGGTCATAGCACCCATCATTCTTAACTGTCCCATAGTGAACCAGAAAGCTCTGGACCAGTGGTTCATAAGCTATAATGAAGTCTTTGCCGCTTCCAAATTGGCTTTGGCAGAAACGAACCCCACAGACCTTGACCCCAAGTTTAATTACATAATGTGGCTCAATGTTCATAGGGCCTTGAAAGATTAAAAACAGTTACACAAAACTTAAGTGATTATTCCCACTGATTATTTCTTTTAACCAGATACTATTTTTAATGTACAAAATAAATGCATAGCTTGGAGGAAGTGTAGGTTCTTTATCATTTAGGGGTTTTTTTTTTAGTCATTGTTTATTGGTAATTGTAAACTGGTTTGTTTTTTTTTAAATGTATTCATAATTTAGGTGATGTGCTACTTAAAGTACTAATAGCTGGAAATTAAATGGTGAAATTAATCTGAGATTAATTTTTAGCTGTATGGATCATGATTTTTGTATACAGATTTAAAAATCCAGTTATTAACCTGTGACAGATAAAAAGGCAAGTTCTTGGACTGACTGACCATTCATATTTAAGGAATATGGAAATAAAATAGTTCATATTCCAAAATAGTTCACATTGGGCCGTACAATGGCTAAAAAGCCTTTAGAGTCCATTTACCACTTTGTTCATTCAGGCTCAATGTTGTGATAAGTTGTGAAAGATTTGGTTGCACTGAGAACATACTAGTACTTGGAGAGTACCTAGACCATGATAATATGCATAATGAGCATTTAGGAAGTGTGCTTTCTAAAATAAGAAAACCTAGGCTTTGGGATCATCTTTTAAATTGATGTTGGCAGTTAATTTCAGAATTAGTTGGAGGAAGGCTGGGGTGTTTTGTTGTTTTGAAGGTAAAATTGCTCCTGGCTGAGAGATGCCATACTTGGTATACAAGAATAACATGGAGATTAAGACTGTATAATACACATTTTGAATGTGTTTGACACTGTAAAAAAGTAAGAAAATTGAAGAAAATGATTTGATGCCCTTAAAGTCAGTTTAAGGATATCATTATTTCTTAAAAAAATACATGTTTTTATATGGTGATTTATTTTGCCTTTGGCTGAATCCAGAATTATTTAGGATAAAAGTAAATGAAGTCATAATTTGTCAGACTATCCTGTACTTCCCCAATATCTTACCTAGAACCCTGAACACGGGATGGGCCATCTAGGGATAGATGATGAGAGGTGTCTGTCTTGAGGTCACATGACTTAAGGCTTGGATTGGGGCTAGTCAGTATATACGGTATGTGTTTAAAAACTAGAGGCTCGGATCTGTTCTTTGCTGTTAATTGGCCTTGGTGAGTAGACCTAACCTTAAGAGCCACTTGGACAGCAACAACTCAGCCCATCTAACCTACATTTGCACTGTTTCAGTTCTGCCTGGCTGCCTTTTCATTCACCTGCAACTGACGTGCAATTAAAATAGTCACTTTTTCAGTGAACTGAAGAACCCCCTCTTTGGTTCTTCAGTTCTGAACTGGTAGGTGTATAGCAATTTTTTGTATGTGTAGATTACTTAGAATTTATTTGGACTCCTTCCAGTGTACCAGCCATAATACTGTATGGGACCGTGCAACAAGTTTAATTGATTGTCACAAGTCAATCAAGATACTCCAAGATCCTTTGTAGCAGTCACATTCGTATATACTAAGTTGCTTATATTGAGGAAATCAATAAAAGAGCCGGACTGTGAATATTGTTTGTAAACTCAAGGGGTTAGGATGTGGACAGTTTATCATCAATAGTTGTAGTTACCTAGTGCTGCATAACAAAAACACTACCAAAACAAAGCGTTAACGACAAGATTTATTTTATTGACTGCTTGGATACTTCATTTCCACTCATCATTGGCAGGGGGAGCTTTTAAAGGAGAGGAAATGGACTCATTTGAAGGCTCTCCATAGGTAGTTGACGCTGGATGAAACTTGAGCTGGAATGTTGTAAGAACTCTACCTAGACATTGCCTCACACAACAGCTAGTTTCCAAGGGTTAGGGGAAAGGGTATGCTTTTTGTGACCTATCCTGAGAAGTCTTTACTTATGTATTGGTAAGAGTGGGCTGACCACAACCCACCAATGTTTAATAAGAGGGGACTCTACATCTTATTGGAGGAATGACATTTTGGAAAAGTGAACTGGAATCTTCTATGGGCCACAAGTTCCAAGTTTTGTTTTTGTTTTTGAAAGTACTGTTGGATACAATAGTGTTGATAGAGCCAAAGCTGCAATAGTTTTACAAAAGGACCAGAAACATCAAGAAAGGTCATATATTGTATGTCTGTTTATGGAGGAAAAAATCGTATTGGAATGTTGGTTGTACAAATAATTACTGTGAATCATAAAAATGTCAAGTTTGATTAGTAAAGAAACCTCAAATGGTAAGTATCAAGTGACCATTAAGTACAAAATTCTAAGGTTGGGTGCAATATATAATGAGAGTCAGACAAACGTTGCTACACGGTATTTCCAACTCGGTGGGGCGTTTGCTTTTATAGCATTACAAATACTGATTTTTGAAACACCAACATGTGTATAAT